TCTCAATATGGAGTAATTTTAATTTTAAAATCTATTACTGGGATATTTTATTTTGTTCAGCCAGCTGCCAGTTGTTCACCTCCAATTTAAGGGCAGACTTTTCTGATGTATCTAGTGCATGAGAATTTTGCCTTCTAAACAATGAAAATGGAGTTTTCTATTTCTGTTTTTAGTTTTTGGAGCCATCTAAAGATCCAAAATTGTATTTTACCTCTTCAAAATGCATCTTATCAACTAGTTAATACATTAATAAGTTGTACTGTATAAGATTTGTTTACTAACCTTCCCAGTATGTCCTTTCAGATTAGTAATATTCTCAAAGGTGATGCTGGAATAAATTTGAATCACATTTCCATTAACTGCAGCAAAAAGATGGCCTCCGTTACTGAATGAGCACTACAAAAAGAACATAACCACCCATTACTGTAGATGGAATGGATAAAAACATCCATGTATTGAATTTCAATTGCATCCTTTAATATCAAATTGTTGCATGAAAAGAAAAATCCATGACATAATTAGCCACTTTCAGTTTTCTTAATCAATGCTTTCCCCTTTCCCCTGTAAAATTCAGTTCTGGATTATTTCTGAGCAAATTATCCATTCTGCTGCTTCCCAGGTCCACACTTACACATCAGCTTCTGGGTCTGTTCTCCAATAGTTAGAATCAATTTCTCTAAGCTTTGATATATGACATCCTATATCCTACTAGGATGTATTGGAGAAGTTTTTATTTTCTGTCATGTTCTTCACCACTCTGCTCCCCATAACTCCCCAGTTTCATTTTTGCACCACTCCTTACCTCTCTACACTTTTTCACAGGAAACTCCTTGAAAACATTCATGTCCTCATACAGCAGACTTACAAATCGTAGTTTGTCAGAAAACCCAACCAAACAGAAAAGGCCAGTGGGATGAAGTGATACTGTGTGTGCCTCCTCCTGATATTCCTTACATAGTTCCAAATTGCTGAAAGAGAAAACTGTTGAGCAGTATGGAATAGGACAAACTCCCCACTGCACACTTGACAGGATATTATCTGGCCCAGCAAGGAAACCTGCAGCTAAAAAACCTAACTCTGCCTTGTCCTGGAGGAAGTGTTTTGTTATTCAGTTAAGTAATGATCACAGAGATGTTACAGGAAACAAAAGCAAATTTGACTTTCTGGTTCACAGAGAAGGTGTGGAAGGTGCAAGAGCAAATCCTTGTTACTGTAATATAATGAAGAAGGTAAATGAATTGCTGATCGCAATCCTACACAAACATCTCTTGAGATTTGTTTTTGCCTCCAGGGAACCTCAAGAGCTGGAGTAATTTTGTTTAAGAACTATGCCTAAGAAGCAGGATGTGGGATAACAGTATCTTAAGACAAAGCTGAATGAAAGAGTTTTTTCCAAAACACAAGAAGTTTGACACCAAAATAGCTTAATAGAAAAGGTTTGTATTCTTTTGGCACCAGTTTTAAAGGCACTGCATATTCAAACTCCCCAAATATGTAAGTAATACCATTTACATCACACACCACACAAGAATTTTACCACAACAGCACTCTCATTCATATGAGATTGCTGCTGCTGCTGTCTCCTAAACACAATATACAAAAAAGCAATAACAAATACAAACAACTCATTACTTCGTCTTGTAATTCCAGATGCGGACAGATCTATCCAGGGAACACGTAGCAAGAATGGGTTTCCAAATACACATGTCCAGACCAGTGATTGAATTAGAATGCAATGGGAAATTCATATATGCAAAATGAGATGTCTTCTCCTGAGAAGGAATGAGAACATTAAGAAATCACAAATATTTCATTGCAGGCAGTAAGTCAGATAAAAATAATCTATCATGGGTCTTTGGATACAGTTGTAGAATAGATTTGAGGGAACCACTTAATTCTTTTGCTGCACTGGTCTGAACATAACAATGTTAAAAACCTGACAATGATGGTTTTAAATTTTTAATTAATAATCAAGAAAGTGGTGCAGAGCAGAGCAGTGAGAACAGAATGTAATTGCAGGTATATAAAAAAGGCAAGTTAGATAAATAAATAAAACTGGACCTGCAAGAATTCAGTTAATACCTTCTGGTCATGTAGATATTTTAAAAAAAAGTCAAGTTTTTATAAATAAAATCAAAGTCAAGCTTCTCTGAGGGCAGTATTTCTGTAGCCCCTAACTACAATCCCTCTTCCTGTAAAGATCTTTCTGTATGTCTGTAGACAGGTTAGGTACTATATTCCATGTAAGTCTATTTCATGATAATTCAGAGTAGGGAAGGTTTTTCATTATGTTTGTATTTCACAGGAAGTTTTCACTTCTAACTAGGACTTCAACAACTGTCTCAGAGTCAAATGAGTTTCCCATGGCTGTTCCAGCTTTATCATTGCAATAAAGTTTTTGCATATTACAGTGGAGCATGGACCACACAGTTACATTGAGGATATCCCAGTTAAAGCCTCAGTGAAGTGGTTCAGCAGTAACAGGCACCCCTAAATGGTCTTAAGAGTGCTCTATGATTCTTCTGATTAGCATCAGGTATTCACAGGGAGGGATGCTTGGAGCAAGGGGCTACGGAAATACTGCCCTCAGAGAAGCACACTTTGTACCTTGAGCTTTAAGGGTTCATTTGAAGGATTTAATGAGAATGCATCATATAAAACAACACTGGTTAGCCTGTATCATTACAATACTGGACATGAAAGCTGTGGAATGGGACTGAACTGCACTTACCCTTACAAGTTTGGTGGAGAACATAGAAAACATGTAGAGCTGATTTTTATTTGTGCTAACGACCATCGTTTCCTCAGAGGGGCTGAAGCATATACATGTGATGTCCTGTCTGCATGACTTTTTTGGCTCGGTGCTGAACAGGTCCTGAGGAAGCTGCACAAGAAAGGCATCCCATGGGTTGTGCCAGGTTTCCATGTTTTGGTAGTAGGCATGTACACACAAACTTTTGTTATAATGCTCCTCTAACAAGCACATACATAATATCAGCAGGACAATTTGGATATTTAATAGCACATTACTACAAGGCAGGAGAATAGAGTACAAGAGGACAACCCAATGGTATCTGTAACATTACAGCTGAAATAAAGTATCAGGGGAGATTTCAGTAATCTGAAGTACTGTGCTAAACAAGAATTAAAATGGTAGTAGAAAAATATCAAGAAAAAACCTAGCAAGTGTCAGAATGCAAACTGCTTAAAAATTTCGATTTCAGAAAAAGTCTTTGTAATGTATTACTAAGGTAGATAAGTCTTATAGGGTCTCATGCATAGGGAAGATCTGACCTTTTAGAATGAGAGTATGAAGTCTTGACCAGCTCATTAGAGTTAAATGTTCTTATCCAGAGATTTCAGTAGGTCAATGCATACAGTTTGCCATAGAACAGTTAGAAGGATTATTTAAGAATGCACAGGTCTCATCACAGCTCTAATAAATACCTGAGGGGAAAAAAGCTTCTGCTTGGAAAAAACCAATCAGCCAAGTTTTCAATGATGTAAACTACCTCTTAGTCCCAAAAGTCTCCACAAAGAAAAGCTTCTTAAAGGCTTTTTTGAAGTTTAGCAGCCTCAAAGCACATTTTATATTTGGGGAGCATACAAAACTATCTTGCAAAAGGTCATCAGGCACTGACCTTCAGTGTAACCTTTGGCAACTCCTTTTGACATCACCAGTTACCTAATCCTTACAATGCAATTTAGCAGTATGCAAAAAAATATTAATAACTGAATCAAGAACACTCACAGTTCTCTAAACATGCTTCTGCTGCATAATTGCTTATAAAAGCTTTTTTCCTCCTTACCCAGACTTCTTGACTCTCCTCATAGACTTCCTTTTCCTTAGTCTTCTCAAACAGAAGAACAACTCCTGGGCTGGGTGAACATGCAAAACCTTTGGAATATGCTGCAACTGCAGATATTTGAGGCAAAGAATGCTGTTGTAAACCATTATCTTCAAAGGCCAGTCCACTAGAAACACCAGAAATGCAATTAGGAAATGCATAAAGACTTAAAAATAAAGAAGCACAAATCAAAAAATGCTAAGCAGCAATCGATATGATAAACCAGACAAGAAGGAAGTAACTAATCTGTAGGCAAAAGCATGGAATTATTACTAATAATATTAAACAAATTTACCTCTCATATTCTTCTGTTGTTGTATCTCCTAGTTCCCTGGGTGGCTTTCTGTACTCCAAACTTGTCTCCCAGTTCAGCTCTCCAGTTTCAAACAAGCTAAGTTTGCCTGTGTCAGTGCCACATATAACTTCCTCCTCAGACAGCCAGGCATGGCACAAGTAGTTTTCTGGCTCTCCCCTTTGTAAATTCATCTGCTTTAAATATCCTTCACTGTATTTGAAAAGTTTAAAAAAGCCATTTCCAGTGATACAAACCTGTGTATTGTCTTGAGGATTAAAGCTCACCTATGGAACAAAAAAGAGAGGAGGTATTTTTTTCAACTATGTTCACAAATAAGTAAATATTATACCTGTTCTGAAGAGTTTCTATACCAGATACAGGAAAACAAACAAAGATGGTTCATAGAAACATACAGGAATACCAAAGAGAGTAAGGATTAGCCACCATAACTACATACTGCAGTTTTCCCCCTTTCAAAAGCACGTCTATCAAAATTAAATCACAAAAGTAAGGCCAGAATACCTCTTTACTACTGATTAACAATTTTTTCCAGTAGCAAGCCTCCTGAAAAGTGGGACCAATTGTTCTCAAAAGTCCAGGAATAAGTTCTGTATTCCTGTATTTCAGGCAAACAGTATGCAGATGAATTCACATAATTAAGTGTTTATTTGTGAAAATTATGGAATAGCCATCTCAATAGTCAACATGAAGGATAGGAGGGGTAGTTTGAAGTAATTTTTTATGCTTAATGGGACTTCAGACAGCCAGAGTCTTTACACTCCCCCCTCTCTTTAGGAACTGAGCTCATAGATTCAGTAGTTCAGCCAACCTCTGCTTGTAGCTGTACCTCACGAAAAATGGCAGCTGGAGTTCAACCAACACATGTACTGAAAGTATCCCTGCATGAAAGAATCTAAAAGGGGCAGCCAAAGCTGGATGCAAAAATCATTTGTGTGCCATCAACCCGCTCCTAGCCACTCTTCTCCAGTCTGAACTCAGAAGACTTCAGAAAGGAAAAGGTGCACTGAGAGCTTCCAAGCATGTTACAACTACTGAGCACAGCCCACATATTTAGTGTGTGCTTTTGCAGGGAGACAAAGGACAGATTGCACACTCACTGGCCTGTTATACTGGTCCCACAACATAGATCTCATGTGATACAACAGATACAGGCATGAAAATGTCCATTATGGGTCAGTGCAAAACCTCATTTAGCCTAGCATCCTGCTGCCAAGCGAGGCCATCAGCAGATGTCAAGAAAGGTGAGAGAAACTGTATGAAATACACAGTGTGGAGCCCTCTCCTCCTCTTGCCGTGGATAAAAGCCATGTGGCCATGGGAAAATGCACTGTGCACATGTGCTGAAGGACGAACGTACGTCCAACCTCGCACCTGCTACTTGTTGAACTAAAGTTTGATCGTTTCATCCACTTTTTGAAAAGTGAAGTATGCTCTCGAAGAACCAGTCAGCTGCGAACGAGAGTGTTACTAACGAGCCGCAGGGACTGCCGCAGCTCGGGTTTGCAAGTCCTGAACAGGCGGAGCTGGAGCTGTTACCTGGCAGGGACCGTCGCCCGCGGCCTGGACGCGGACGGTCGCCGCCAGCTGCTGCTTCTCCCAGAGCCAGCAGGTGAGGTGCCCCTCGGGGGGGGCCGTGGCGGCCGCCAGGAACCGGCTGTCGGGAGAGAAGGCGAGGGACACCGCCTGCCGCGCCGGCAGCTCCTCGGCGGCCAGCACCCTCCGCCGCTGGGCCCGCTCCGCCGTCAGCTCATAGACCGCCAGCACCGGCTGCTCCCCCGCCGCCTCCGACAGCGCCAGGAACCGCCGGTTGGGGCTGACGGCCAGCGCCTGNAGACTCGCGGCCCCAGCGCTGGGTGCAGGGCCAGGAGGCACGGCTGGGCCGCGGGGCTCGGGGCCGGGAGGGCTGCGGTGCTCCGCGCTGCCGGCGGGGTTCGGCTGGGTCCCCGAGGGGCAGCCCGCGGTGTGACTGGACACTGGCCGGGCCAGCCGTGCGGATCAGTCCGTGCTGAGCTCTGCTGAGCCGTGCTGAGCTGTGCTCCTTTCACAGGACGGCCTGAAGCAGTGCCTGGCCGAATTCAGGAAGCAGCTCGCATGGGTGGAAAGGCTGGACGTGACTCTGGGCCCGGTCGCGGACCCCGTTTCTCAGAGCGCTTCTACGTCTGATGCTGTTGACCCTGAGAATGATTTCCAGAGAGAGATGAGTTTGTAAGTGTCAAAAAGAGATTTCATGTAGTGTCCCAGTGTGTTGCTGCGGTTTTGGAGTTATGCTTCACCATTGTGCTACAGACTGCTACACTGGTGGTCACTGTGGTATTCTTGGGCCATGTTATTTTACATTTGATGGCTCTGAATATTTTCCAAAATAACTACAAATTAGTGATAGTATATTTAACTGCTGTGTCACTGAAAATAAATAATTTTCCTCTTCACAGCAGACTTCATTCTTTGCTGAGAAGTTTATTTTAAAAGCTCCCTGACAGCAGGACTAACGCTTTAACACAAGATACAGATTTTAGTTTGTGGTTTTGTTGTGGTGCTCTTACATTTCTCTTGTTTTGCTTTGCCTTTTATATTCTAATATTAAAAAAAATCTATAACTGGAAATAAGATAAATGTATATGTGCAAGATGTAAAGATTAATACTGTATTGGCACCTAAGCTGCTTTCAGTAGCACTGGATGTGCACAGAATGTTGATATAATTGATATAATTCCAGACCAATGCTGGCTAGATCCCTATATCAGCCTGATTGGGTGAGCAGTTTGTGTCAGCACTGTGAGGTGCCCGATGTGCAGTGGCAGGGCTGGTGCAGTGCAGCTGGTGCAGTGCCAGCTGATGTGGTGGCAGGGCTGGTGACAGCTGGTGCTGTGCTCTCTCCCAGCTACCGGCAGGCACAGGCAGCTGTCCTGGAAGCCCTCCCTAGGCTGCATAAGCTCCAGGTTCCTACGAGGAGGCCGGATGATTACTTTGCAGAGATGGCCAAATCAGACCAACAGATGCAGAAGGTATGTGCAATGAATGTCTTTCTTTCCTGTGTAATGAGTGTGTTTTAGCCTGTGGTAGGGATTAAATTTAAGGTGTGATGTGTGAGTACTGACCTTCATCTCTTTTTCGATTCCTGTGACGATGATTCAGTTAGAAACTTTGTGACAGATTTCTTTTTGTTTAGGTATTTTGATGTAATATGGGGATTTTTATACCAGGTTGGATGATAAAGTAGAAAAACATGACTTACGCTTTGTCCTGAATATTATTGTTTAATATTAAAAAGGGAGATTTTTTTTCTTAATATGTGTAACAGTGGATGTAAAGTTGCCTGTGTTTTTGCTCTTTGTCATAAAACTGTGGTTTTAATGCAATCCTTCTTTTCCTATTTAGGTATCACGTTTTGTTTATTGTTAGTTTGTTCTGATTTTCTATGATTTTAAACCATATGTTATTGAATGACTCTGTTTTGGATAGAAAATTAGATTGGTGTAGGAAGACTTTCACACATTCCCTTCTTGACAGTAGTATTTGTTCAAAATGGAACTCTATTTTTTTATTTAGATTTGGAAAAAAGTCTACCTTGTATAAATTAAACAAACATGAGCTGGAGTCTAGTTTGAAGGTTCGTTTATCATTGAGTTACTTTTTTGCTTTCTGATGGAACTTTTCTAGATAAGATGAAGAATGATAATTAGCTCATACTAAACCTTAAGTCAGTCCTGCACATTACGACTCTGTTCTTTTGCTGCTTCCATTTGAAACAGTTTTTATCTCCTATTGCAGTCACTAGACTGAATCATGTAGATCCATGTTGAAATCTTTGTGATTTTTCATAAGGCAGCATCCTTATAAAAATGTTTGTGAGCAAGGAGGGAACAGAAAACATGTTTTTTATAGGATTGTTGATTTTTCTTCACTGCTTTACTTTTAATAATGACAAGAAAGGAACTGTTAAGTCTTCTCTATACACCCAGATAGATGGACAAGGTTCTCTCAGTTCCATTAGAGCCCATTATAAGGCTTTGTCTTCTCTCTTGTGTGAATTTTGTCTTTTTAGGCAGATTTTGGCTATAGATAAGTTCAGGAATTTCTATAATAATTGTTCCTTGAGCTGAAAGGATGGTATGCCTTATAGGCATTATCTGATTGAGAGATGTTTTCTTTTTTACACTCACAGATAGTTCACAAATATTCACTTCAGGACTGTACAGAAATTATAAAATTATCTTTTTTTCTTTTGTGGTACTGATTTTGTTTTTTCTATTCCCTAATTAGATTCGACAGAAACTTAAGACTAAACAGGAAGCAATGGAAAGGTCTGAGAAAGCAAAACAACTCCGTGCAATGAGAAAATACGGCAAGAAGGTGAGGAGCTACAAAAGGGACATGTGCAAAAGGGTTTGGGACAAGAATTTAGAGCCTGAGAGGGGAGCTGGAAAAGTGAGACCATGGGAGTCTGACTAGAACACACAGAATCTGTCTAGTCTTCTGGCTAGCTGCTCTAAAGGAAAACCAAACAGATAGGATACCTTAAAAAAATTTATGGGACACTGCAAGGAACAACGCTAACATTCTGCTTCTAAACTCAGGTGCAAGTTGAGATTCTGCAGAGGAGACAAAAGGAGAAGAAAAATATGTTGAATGCAGTCAAGAAATACCAGAAGGGTAAGTCAGCTTGTCTAAAAGAGCAATTGTGTAAGGGCAGCAGTGGTGTGTGAGCAGTGTAGGGCAGTGTGATGTGGTCACTGTGTCTGTAGTTCTGGGCCTTGAGGTCGGAAAGCTGCTGCTGTGCAGAATTGTGTGCCAGTGGCAGTGAAAAGCCACCCAGGCAGCTGTTCTTCAGTAAGGGTGACCTGTTGTTATTATGTGCTTAGACTGAAAATCTGTATCTTCTGAGGTGTAGCTGTGTGATGTCTTCATTCTTGCAGGTCTCTCTGACAAGTTGGACTTTCTAGATGAAGAGCAGACATCGTCACAAGGGAATAAAAAAGGCAGTGCAAGTCAACGGACAAAGAAGGGGTGAGACCAGAAACAAAAGATAGTTAAACACAGGATGTCTGATTTTTTCAGTGTTTTTAGAGGATAGTTTTGAGAAACAAGAAAACTGTTCTGTTTAGTGTTAAAGTAAGTCCAAGGTGGCTTTCTGTCCCCAAAGAGAAGAAAACTATGGCCAAAATTAAATAGAAACTGAAATGTGTTAATTTCTGCATCTTTGTTAAGAGGGGGAAGGTTTATGATGGTTGATGGGAGACCATGAAGATACATATGTGTGTCTTGAGAGCTTTCTGAAACAAGGAATGTAGGCAGTGATGTTGGTTGGTTGTTTTTCAGGCCAAATGCCAAAAGACGATACAAAAATCAAAAGTTTGGTTTTGGTGGGAAGAAAAAGGGCTCAAAGTGGAACACAAAGGAGAGTTTTAATGACGTATCCAGCTTCCAGTCAAAAGTGGCTCACAACAAAGGCCCAGGAAGAGGAGGAAAAGGAGGGAAAGGAGGCAAAAAAGCCCTTAATGTAAGTAAAATGTTGCATGAAAGTGATCCTGGTTGGCTAGGAAGCCAGGCCATGTCTGGCAGGAAGAGATGAGTGCATGATGGGTGCCTCCAGCATCTGGAAGTGATGCCTGTCTTTGGGAGCTAAGCATAATAGAGTTACTAACAGAGTTGGGGACAGTGGTTTGGTATCAGCAGGAAAATAAGAAGGGGAGTTAAAAAGTGCTGTTTGCTACCTGTGTGCCAAAACCTCCCTCTCCAGATGTTCCGACAAATACACTCTCCTTGGTATCCTCCCCAAGCTATAGAGCTGGAACAAAGATGGAGAACATGAAAATAAAGATCTGAATCTGTCCTTTTTTTTGCAGAAGAGACCTGGAAAGAGAGCAAGGCAGAAAATGAAGAACCGAGCCCGCTGAGAGAACTGTGCTGCACAGTGAGGTTCCTGTGTTTCTTTGTGTTGCAAGATGTGTTTCTGCTGTCATCAAGCAGCTAACTGTGGAGCAAGCTGGATGCTTTGCAGCAGCAAGGAAAAAAAAGCCAGTGGAAACCAGTGCCTTATCACTAATTTCTTCTTACTGTGTGTTTTGTTGAAGGATTGTTTTCTACTTAAACCTTTGGTGTGTGTGCACGCATTAAATGGTTTGCACAGAACTATGTGTAACTCATGTTTAGGTGTTCAATGGGGTGGCTGAAGCCAGCTTTTTCTACCACTGCTGTTAAGATGAAGTTGGTGACCTTGAGTTCTGGGTCATATTGCTGATACAAAAAAAAGAAGTCTGAAGCTTTTTGAGGTGTTAGAGTGGTTTTTTGGACTATTTGTGTAGATGGATCAGAAACAGCAGTCAGATGAATACAGAGCCTTAAAGATAGGTTTATTTGTGTCACTGTTGTCAGGCTGCAAATCTGGACAGATTATAGTTTTCTTTTTTCTGTTGTCTCTCACTAGAAATTTGCCAGACTTGGTGGGTAACAAGCAGGGCCTAACACATTAGATGTCATTAACATTCTATCTATAGATTTCCTGCTGTAGTAGTTTTAGGCTTCTCTCCCCGTGGTGCAGGGTAGCCATGGATGGTAATCTCAGTTGTCTTGCGTGGGAAGTAGAATCTGGTATCACTGCGGTCCAAAGGAACCTGGGAAACAAAAATCACAGTCATGTGCTTTTATTGCAATTAGTGGTAGTAGTCTTTCCTGGGGAGCATGATGCACAGTGTTCTGCTGCTGAGAAATGTCCAAATGACAGAAGAGCAGGGTACCACTGTACTGTTCACTGCTTTGTCATGGTCAAACCTACTGAATAAGGAAAACTTAGCAAATTAAAAAACATCACGAGTTCTGACTCTAAAAATTGAACTTGCTTCCCTACAAACAAGTTCAGTTGCCTCCACCCTGCCAGACTAATCCTACCAGTTCCTTGATACCATAGACCCCAGCTGGGATGTCTGTCTCTACCCTTGTCATGAATAAGTAGTTTACTTGATGTATAATATGAAAAGTCAGTGAAGACTGTCTTATTTTCTTATTTATTTTAGTTTTCTTTATAACAGGCCAAAATTTGCCTTTCCCAAAACACTAATCTGCAAAGTCAGTCATCATCACAGCTGGTTGTCAGATATGATTGATGTCTCAGCTTGTTAATCATATTTATTTTCCTCCTGTTTATTCACACTTCCCCAGAAGAATCCTCACTGGTATATCTGCTTTGGGTATACTTACATGATTATTAATTTTATGGTTCTGCTTGCAATTTGTTTGAAAGATGCTGTGCAGCAGCACATTTTTTTCCACAGTACTTCTGTATGTCACTTCACATTGCTCACTACACCATTTCTCATGGCTGAATGCTTTAATAAACAGCTCTGAGTACACCTGTGGCATTTGGCAGTGTGCTGTCACTGTCACTGTAGATGCTTTGCAGTCAGGTTTCTCAGGGGAAGTGTGCTGCTTCTCTGTTCACAAGTCTATGCCAGTGTGAAGAGTCCTCTTACGTGTAAATTTTAAAAACTTGTTTTCTGTGAACAGCTCTGCTCATTCCCTGTAATTCTTGTTTTCCTTGTTGTCACAAATCGTTTCCTGCATGAATATTTTTCAGTGTGGTGGGCTTAACGTCTCTGAATCCTGTAAAGAGCTGAGTCTTTAAGCATCTTACTCACCAAAGGTGTTGAATGCCAGCCAATTTCTTGGCTTTCAGTTTGTGGCTCTGAGTATTTCTTTCTTGGCACCTCTGCTGCACGGTGAAGAAGTTTCAAGAATTCATCTGTTGTTTTAAGAGACAGAAATACAAATGAAAGTGTGTTTAAAAATCAGTCACCTGTGGCCATGTGTTAGAATGGGACATCTTAACACTCTCCAAGCTACAAGAAGGACACCAAGGATGGAGGCAGCCTCTGTTTCTGTGAATAGTATTGTCAGGATGCATGGTGATGTTTCTACTCATCAGTAGAAAGAAGATGTTTCCCCATCTTCCTGAGGAAGTTTCAAGATTTCTGTGATAATACTGTCCTGTTAATTCTGGTATCCCTGTTTACTGTACTGCAGCATCTTACTTTTCCTCCACCAAATCTGGTACAAACCAGTGTTCCATGACAGCTTTTGACTTCCTCATTTGCCTGAGACCTGCAGCCTTTCCCTGGTTTGGTTTTCTACCCTCCCCAGTCCTTGAATAGAGCAGGCCAAACTTACCATTAAGGTTTTTAGACAAAAATCAGAATGTTAGAAATAAGGGAGCAGCTGTGATAAGGACTTTTGTTACCCGTGCTCTAAAGTAAGCCTGGGCAGTCATTTCAGCAGTTTAAGCTGCATGGTGTTAGGTACAATCTGCATTTGCAGGCAACATGTACATATAGAACATGCTTCTAGGTATTTTTGTTTTCCCCTGAGCTTTAGATCCTCAACAAAATTTTACAGTATGAATATAAGGAATTTAATATATTTTATAGTTTATATATTTTTTTAATTAGAAACAAAAATGAGAGCATAATTGCATGGATGTAAACTTGTGCTGAAAATGCAAAGTAACGAATGGAAAATGGAAAGGGCCTTAAAATGAAAAAAAACCTGCTTTACAAACAAAAGCCATAAATGAGTTTAACTTACTTATATGGTCACAGATATGTTTCCACATACATCATATTTTAGACTGATTACAGTTATTAAATCTTACATGTCAATAATTTTTTATGCAGTTATCACAAGTTTTTCAGAGACTTCTTACCGTTTATTGGCAGATGTACGTTCTCATGCCAAGACATTGGCTTCCTAGCGACCATGTGAACTGCCAAGAAACGAGACAGGTGAATGATTTTAATGTGAATTTGGCATCACAGCCAGGTATAGAATGTGTTATTGAACTGCATGTGCATAGATGAAAATTAGTTAGAAATACTGATTAATGGCAACTTCTAGGAAGGGAAGGTCATTCATCAAGTATGCTGAAGGCCCTTCAACAGGATGCTGCCTATGCTCACCATATCAGTCCCACCCCACCCAAGGGCTGGCCTGCAGAGTGCCACATCTCAGGAAATTATTTTCTTTTACTGTTTTATTGCAAAACCTAGACCTGAAAGAATCTACTCACATCACCTGCCCGTGCTAGCACAGACTGAATTGGCAGATAGAAAGCAGATCAGGACCTGAAGGAACATGGTGTAGGGTTGGGGCCCTCTACCCCATCTTGGCTCTGTATTTACACAGAATTTTTAAGTTCTTTAATAGTTGCCTCACTTCTACGTTGTTACTAAAGGCAGCATCTGGGCAAATGGGTCATGTCTCCGTTCTCTCTCTAAGTGTGCAGACCGGTTCCTCAGGCAAAAGGAAAGCCCACCAGTTGCCCGTTCCAGCTTTACCCCTCTCAGTGGCCACTGCTGCCTCGCTTGGGTGCAGCTGCTCGTCCCTGCCGCGCAGCCGAGCGCTGCGGGCCCCCCACTCCTCACGGCTTGTCTTGCCCCCGCGGCTTTACGCCAGTCCCCTGTGGCCGCGAGGCTTCACCGGGCTGGAGGGTGTTCACGGTGTACTGCGTGAAGAGCAGCTGCCAGCGGCGCTCCTTGTCGGCCCGCTCGCTGCGGAAGCGATTCTGCAGCGCGTCCGGCGGGCTCCTGTCACCGCTGCGAGCGGCCATNGGGGGCGGCCCCGGGTAGCGGCCCTGCCCTGACGGGGCGCCCCCGCCTGTCCCGCAGGAGCCCCGCGCAGAGAGGCGGCCCCCGGCGAGGCTCTCGGCGGAGCAGGAGGCGGTGCTGCGCGCCGTGCGGAGCGGAAAGAGCGTCTTCTTCACCGGCTCTGCAGGTGAGGGGCCCCGGCGACCCTCATCGGCTCCCCGGGGGAAGTCCTGGCCATTGACCTGTTGCTTCTACCTCCAAGGGACTGGGAAGTCATTCCTCCTGAAGAGGATCGTGGGCTCCCTCCCTCCGAACATCACCTACGCCACAGCCAGCACGGGAGTGGCAGCTTGTCACATCGGTGGCACGACTCTCCACGCCTTTGCAGGTGATGGCCTGCCCGACAGCGAGGGGCTGGGAGCTCCTACTCCCTTCCCAAAGAATCAGGAGTATCCTAAAGCATTGCTTTTTGTCTTGTGACAGGGATCGGTTCTGGGAAGGCACCGCTGGAGCAGTGCATTCAGCTGGCAGAGAGGCCAGGGGTGCGCCAGCATTGGCTGGCCTGCCAACACTTAATTATTGATGAGATCTCAATGGTGGATGGCAAGTTCTTTGACAAGCTGGAGGCAGTGGCAAGGTGAGCAATTGTCAGGTCAAACTAGCAGAAATTAATTTCTCTAAACTTCCAGTCTGCTTCCTTTCTTTAGTTTTATGATTGGATACAAGGCAGCTGCTGGTATAGGCCTGTAAGGAAGCAAGAAATCGTAGCATTTGGGTCGATCTTTACCATGAGATAGGTTTTGGTCATGTCTACCCCTCACTCACAGCTATGGCTGTTTGGGTTGCTCTCTCCATCTCCTGAGCTAAGTGCTGTCTATAGAGCTGTGTCCAGGATGTACAGCTGTGCCCAAAAGGTCTCTCTTGGCAGAGAGAAGTAGCTGCAGTGTAGCAGCCACTAAAAAACTGAGACTGATAGTGACCTCTAGGGTAGGTAAGCAAAGCAAATATAATGTCTTGTACTAGCATTGCTTAATTATTTGAGCTCTTCTGAGGCAGCTGGGGATAAACATCTTTCACTGTAAATTGTCTAGGTTTGAATATACTGACAGATTCAGAAGTAACTTCTGGGACCTGACTATGTCCAGATTCTGGAGGACATTCAAATCTTCTCTTCCATTCCTTCCAGGGCAGTCAGAAAACGGGATGAGCCTTTTGGAGGAATTCAACTAATTATCTGTGGAGATTTCTTACAGTTACCCCCAGTCTGCAAGGCTAATGAAGAAACCAAGTTCTGCTTTCAGGTACAAAACTGTTCCTAAACTCATTCTCATACTTCAAGTCTGCCTCTTTCTTAACAAGAGAATTATTTTTTCAAGGCAAAAAGCTGGAGGAAATGCATCCACATAAACATGGAGCTGACTGAAGTGCGGAGACAGACTGACAAGACCTTTGTCTCGCTCCTCAGTGCAATCCGTTTAGGCAGGTGAGGAGAAACTCATCTCTCTTTGTAATCCCTGCTCCCCACTGATGGAGCAGAGGAGAGAGCAGTTTGTCACTTTTCTGTGCTCTGTCAGGAATGTGTAGCTGTAGGAAAAAGCTATAAATGCCTTAGTTAACAGAGACAGTTTTCATATATGCTGCTCTGGTAAGGAGGGACAATTCCTCTGCTCTCTGAGTTTATGCAGGTATCCTTCTCTGTCCTCTCTGGAGGCCTGTAGCTTGCACAGACTCATCTAGCTGTGTGAAGGTCACTGCTGCTCAAACCTGTTCATGATCACTTTAAGGAATTCCCTTTTCCTGGCTACCAGGTGCACGGAGGAGGTTACCAGACAGCTGATGCAGACGGCCGCTCACAGGTCTGAGCGTGATGGGATCCTGGCTACGAGGCTCTGCACCCATAAAGATGATGTAGAAATAACCAATGAGAGACGCTTGCAAGAGCTACCAGGTGAACTCAGTGGAGGAAACGGCTGGCTTTGGGGCTGAGCTCTGCGTGGATGCACTGGGGGTACTGGGGTGTCAGGTGGAACTTGTGTTCTGTCATGCACAGCAACAACACCTGTCCAAGCTCTGTGTGTTGGAATTGAGGTGCCTGCAGAAAAAATTCACAAATTTTTGTTTAAAAATCCAGAATGTCACTTTTTGGTTTGTAAGAGACAGCAAGCTCATTGCTTGCTCTGATATAGGGTGGGTAACTTATTGCCTCCACTCCCCTGCTTCTTCTTTCTGTAGTATCTTAGGCCATGCTCTATCCACCCATTACTTGAATTAATGGTATTTCTTTTTTTGCCTCCCTTGCTGACCCTTGGATTCTTCCTTAGTCTGCTTTGGAGATCTGGTGTTGGTAGTGAGTGAAACTGCTCAAAATGCTGTTTGCTCAGTTCTTGTTTAGTGCTGACCTTTCCTTCCTGTGTCTTTTCATGCTCTGGAAGTTATATAGGGAAGAGAGGCAATTGTGAGCTCTCCATTGTTAGATGTGACATGGTTTTTGTGAGGATGTCCTAGCAGCAGAGCAGAATGGATATTAAAAGTGGAATTGCTCTTAGAAATAAATGCTGAACCTCCTGAAATGTTGTGTACAATTTGTTCAACAGTTTTAAGTTCTGTCTTTCTTTCCTTAACAGGAGAAGTGCATGTGTTTGAGGCTTTGGACAGTGACCCAATGCTAGTGAAGTTAATTGATGCTCAGTGTCCTGTGGGTGGTAGAGTTGAGCTAAAGCTCGGAGCTCAGGTAACTGTGTGTACATACATGTGTGATAGATCAGATCAAATGGTGTAAGAAAAATGGAGGAATATCAGAGAAATGTACAGAGTAGATTAATACATAGAATGTAAATTCAGTCTAGAATGGCTATGCCAGGCCAACAGAAGACTCTATCCCAATCTTTGTATTTTTTCTGCTTAGAATCTTATCCAGACAGAGGATGAGTTCAGGTCCATGTCTTGGGGACAGTGGTGATTGCTGTGACTTTGATAGACATGTCAAATCAAATTTAGAAGGCTTCTAGTAGAAGAGAGCACAAGCAGTCCTTGCCTGCAGTCTCAGCTCCAGGTACAGCAGCCCTCCCCATCTGTAAAGGTATGGCACAGCTTGCCATATTTGCTGAACTGAGCACCTAGCTCTCAGCTACGCCTGTCAGAGTGGAAAAGATGTAAGATTGTACTTAGTAGTAGCACCATTTGCTTTGGAAACTTGTTCCTTAGCTGTTCCCAGAATGCGTATATGCATAGGCTGGTGATGCCTTGTGAAGGGGAAACTGCTCTTTGGATCTGAGCTCACAGCTGTGGACAGAAATAGCTCAAGTAAAGTGTTCAGTGCTGTAAAATTATGTAGTTACAAATTCTAGGAAGGAAAGGCTGTGAAATAATTCCAATCAAATTGGAGATGGTACTGCAATAGGCAGGATAGGATGATTTGGCTAAATCAGCCTGATGTACTTATGCTTCCTGGCAAGAAGTTTAGCTGCAGGTAGCTGAACAGGCTGCAGAAGCAGTGCATTAAAGATTTTTCTTTTTCTCTGTAGGTGATGTTAGCAAAGAATCTGGATGTGTCTCAAGGGTTGGTGAACGGGGCACGAGGTGTTGTTGTAGGATTTGAAAGTGAACAGAAGAGTAAGTAAGCCTTTTCATCTTTTCTTAAAGGAAGTGGGAAAATAACAAATCAGTATTGGCGGCTGATGACTTCTTAATTTTGTTTACAGCTTGTTGATAATTTGAGGGAAAGCAGAGAGATCTCAGCGAGCTTGGGGCTCTCATGAGCTGTAATGTCATGCACTGCATCAGCTATAGCTGTCTGTAGGCCTCTTGTGTCCTGTATTCTGTATGTAAATGTGTCTGCTCATTTGAATTTCCTATTTGTTCTGTTGAAGCAAGTTTTGATGGATTTTTGTTTGTTTTTCCCAAAGAATAATGTTCTGCTACCAGCAAAATGTATTATTCTTTGCTTCTCAACTGGTAAAATGCCTGCCTTAGTTCTCCTGCTTAAGTAGGTGTCAAGCATCATTTCAGGGCATGCTATTAACTGTCTGTGGATTTAGGTTTGGTTTAGGCAGAAAAAAGGTGTTCTTAAGCTGCTGACATCCTGGCTGTTGAGTGTCAGGAATACATCCCTGTTTCTTTCCTGCTCCCATTCCTACAGGGCTGCCTAAGGTGAGGTTTCTCTGTGGGGTCACACAGCTCATAAAAATGGAGAAATGGATCATTAAAGGACCATCAGGAGTTCATCTGAGTCGTCAGCAATTACCTTTAAAATTGGCATGGGCCATTTCCATTCACAAGAGTCAGGTGGGTGTTCTTGTACAGCTGTCTGTAGACTTTTACACCGTTATAAACCTTATTTCCTGGGTGAGCTTGCATTGCTGGTGAAATAGGAGGAAAAGCTGAAAGGCCCTAGCTGGGGAGGAACCCCAGAACATGTGTCTAGCTGCAGAGAGATAGCATCTCCTTTGCTTTTGGGACTGTCAGTACAGCTGGGAGTTCCTTAAGCACACTGCCATCTGCAGAGTTGGTGTTGGACTGTAAAGCAGCATTATTTACCACTGTGGGCTGATGAGGGAAGTATTCCCCTGAGAGCATTAGGTACCCTGAGCTTTGCAGTGTAACTGAGGAAGCTGCTGGAGCCACAGCTGTGCTCTTTGGGCTGGACTCAGCCTTTGGTGTGTGGTGGGGATTTTTGCAAGATAAGGGTCAATGAAACAGTGTAATATTTTCCAAGTTCCTTCCTTTCCAGAAGACTTCATATTTGATAAGTACTGGTCTTGGAGACCTGTGACCTGTGGGTTTGTTCCCATGCCACAGATTAAACTAGAACACTAGGCTGTAAATTCTGCTGCACCTGGGACAACCCATGAGACAGGGCTGGCCAGGCCTTACCCAAACTCTTTCTCAGGTCTGCCTGAGCACTGCTTGAGAATGGTGCCTGCTCCAGTTAACTACTATGAGTGTAACCAGCAGGATTTCTTTCCCTGCTGTGTTGATTATATGGGATTTATGGAGGTTCATGCAACAAGAGCCTCACTGGAATTAGTTAGTGGATCCTAGTGGAAAAATGCCTTTTCTTTCTACTAGTTCATTTTTTTAAAAAAAATTGAAACCTTTTACCAAAGATGGTATCTTGAACAAACTCACAGGACAGGTTAGTGTTGATACATCACAATGTTCTTGTTTGTTTGCTCTGTAACAAAGTTCTCTGTGCCTTTGACAGGGCATGTCTTTAGACTGTGTGGAAATCTCCCTGTCTCGTGTCTTTGAAAGTGGGCAGGCTTACGTAGCCCTCTCCCGAGCCCGAAGCCTTGCGGGTCTCCGTGTTCTGGATTTTGACCCAAAAGTAGTGAGGGCTGATCCTGCTGTGCTGCAGTTCTACAGACAGCTGAGACGTCATCAGCTTCTAACCCAGGTAAAGAAAAACCTCACGCCAGCAAAGCCTGCCTTGTGTAGGATGAGAGATGTGGGCAGCAAGATGTTTCTTTTTCTTCCTAAGCAAGATCAACACTTGTAGTGACAGGAGAGATGAAACTGCAGAGAGGGCATGTAGCAGGGCAGCTCTGGGTGACCAAATAGCCTCTGTAGTGTTGGGGTTGTGTAACACTACCTGGTCCTTTGGGTGAAAGGATGGGTTTGGATTCTTTGATTCTCCTTTTGCAGTAAGTAAGGAAGGAGAAGTGGGCACAACAGAAATTTCTGGTATTTTCTTTTCTTTTTCCTCAAAGGATTCACTACACACCCATTCAGGTGCTGATGAGAAGGAAAACTGGAAATGCAACTGAGGATGCTCTTCTGGTTTTTGTGAGGTATCAGCACAGACTGCTGAGGTGCAGCGATCTTGTTGTGTATATTTGATAATATAGACAAAATGAAAGGAGATTTTTTAGATGTCTGCTTCATTCAGCTGACTCTGGATATGTAGAATAATCCCCACCTTACATCTGTGGGATTTGGAAGGCTTCTGCAACCCCTTCTGAGCCCTCAGCCTTGAGTACTCCTGTGTCACAAATGCAACTCTAGCAACAGAATGACTGAACAAGGATGTGCCTGAAGGACGTTTCTACAGTTTTATCCTGGGGGACCTTCCTACCATTCTCTCCTGCCTGCTAATTGTATTTTATTCTCTGCACATATAGACTAAAAACCTGTATACACTGTTGAGAGAGGGAAAATGTGCATCCTCTTTGCTTAGATGGATTGCTCAAAGGAGCTGCTGACAAAAGGTAAAGAAGTGCTAAATATCTGGAATTCTTGATTTGCCTGCAAGAGAAGAGCTGTTCTTGCTGCCTGACACCAGGAGGCTTTGCATTAACTTCTTCCACAAGAAGAACTGTCAGAGTTGCACTTGCCTGTTGTGCTGATACATAGGATTTTTATTAGTCTGTTGCATACAACGGGGTGATTATTTTTAACCTTTTGAGATGAGCTGGCACTATTTAAAAATAGGAGGAAGCCTTACATCTTATACCCATAATTATGGAACTATAAGAACTGTAAAGATTCATTATCCCATGAGCAAGAAGGTGAGAGGAGATGGGTGCTGGTGGGACCCTCTCATGTTTAAACACACGAGGATCCCATTCAGATGGGAACTTCTCCTGGAAAAAATGTCTGACTAATAAGGTGGAACTTAGGTGTGCAATAGAGTAATGGCTGAGGACATGTGAAGCAAGCTGTATCTTCACTTGTTTCATCAAAAGCAGGGCCAAGCAGAGCTAATGTACTGGCTTCTTAATAAAGGAGAAGCTTTGTTCTTTTGTATTTTAGCACTTTGCTTAAAGCTAATGTAACTTGTATATTTTAAAATGTTTTACAAATGGGAATAACATGAAATAACATCCAACTGCAACTTGTCTCTTCCAGGGGAACTCTCTATAAAAGCCTTTGCAGTGTAAACAAGTTGAAGGCCATTTCTTGGCAGCTGCTCTCCTTAAAGCCAGGAAAGGATGTTGACTAGCTAGGTTAGCATAACAGAAAACAGACTTTGATAGAATTAAAAAATGTATTTCTAAGTGGTTTGTTTTTTTTGTTTTATTTTGTTTTGGGTTTCTTTGTTATTTTTTTCTGGCCTTGAGAAGGTATTGCTTCTTGGGGGAAGCAATAGTATAAGACAGAAATGTGACTATTTATTCAGAGAGGTTCTTAATATATCAGCATATTATTTCTTCAAAGAAGTTTGGTGGGGAGTGGATGGGCAGTACCTGGAGGTGGAGCAGGAGCCTACAGAAGACAAGTTCCAAATGCTGTGCTTGGCCAGGGGTCTGGTTTCAGTTAGCACTTGAGGGTTTTTAAAGATGGGATGCTGCAGCATAATGAGGGCTTTGTGTTGCATTGGACTTTAAAGGGTGGGATCTGAAATACCCAGAAAGTTAAAGTGAGTTTTACTGTTGGGGTAGACAGCTATGAAGGATGTGCCAGGCAAGTCCAGTCATTGATAAATTGATATTGATAAATTGATTTATTGACTCATTATGTAAGAGTGATGAGATAATGCAGGTTCAAATCCTTTAATGCCTCTTAAAAAGTTCCTGTACCCCTGTAATTGCAAGATAATTTAGAGTGTAAGAGTGGTGATTATGTACAATGCAAATAAAGTTTTAATTGTGGTCTTAACACACAAGTAACTCACTTAACTGCAGCTTTCATGAACTCAGGGACTCAAATATTTCCAGTTGTACTGGGGGTGGTGGGTTGGTGCCAATTTGAGGTAAAATGCTAACCAGAACGTAAAGATGAAAAGGTTAATCAATATTTCATTTAGTATTAAATCTATGTGAAATATTGTGGATGCATTCTCAGTGATGGAACTGTGGAAGCAGAATTGCTGTGGCTTTTGAAGGGCTGGCAGCTCTTCTGAGGCCAAAAGGTGTCCATCTGTGTAAATTCTGGCTGTTCTCACTTGCAGCTAAAGCAGATATAGGTGCTGAGTTTGAAGGCTGCTATTAAAATCCTGAAAGAAGCAGTCAGGATAAATCTGAGCTGTTAGGCTCTGTCATGGCTCCCCTTTCGTTGGGATTATGATGAGGCCTTTTTAAAATGGAATAATGCTTCCCTACACATGATCTAAAAAATCTTGTAATACAATAAATATTCCTTTTTCCACATTCTCCATAACATATTAATTTTTCTTACAGAGATACTATCTAGAGTTAGAACTTAGTAGAGCACCATGCGATTTAAAAAAAAAATAAAAAAATCACATTTTATTGTGGTGATTGTACTGGAAGAACAGAAATGCTCCCCCTCCTCTCTTCATTAATCAGTCAAATGGAGAATAATCTGAAGACCAGGGGCCAGGACAGGCTCCATGAGAGCACTCAGCTGTGCTGCAATGGCTGGGACCCACCCCCGTAAAAAAAGAGGCTTTCGTGACTGTACTCCCATAAATATGGGTACTGCCTCACTTCACAAACTGAAGAGAAAACATTTAAGCATTTAAACATCTGCCTTAACTGCAGCCATTATTAAGTGTATTAAACTAAGAGTTTGATTCATAACAAGTATTTCTGTTACCACAAAGCACAGCCATTCTCATTTCAAATACATTAAACTATAAGAAACTGCTTTATACCAGCTAAAGCTCCATAATGCATTTATGTGTTATTGGAAGCATAATTCAGAAACAGAGTGTTATTAAAACCTTACCAGCTTCCAGTTTAAATCTTTGTATAGTGATTTAACACCCTTTTTGTTCTTTATGTGACATTTTCATTATAATTAAACATGGATGTGTCCCCACAGTCTGTGCCCACAAGTCCTGTGAGCACAGGAAAGGCAGCAGTAGTCCTGTTGATCTCAATGCTGTAATAAGATTTTGTCCAGGAATTAGACCTTCATATCCAGAATTGCTCTGAATAGATAAAAATATGCTACTCTTAAGTAATGGAAACACAGTACATTGTTGGTGGTGCTGTGAATGCTAATCATGTAATTTTTCTTGTAGATATTACAAGTTTCTCATTTTATATTAAGCCACTCCGTGACATGTAATTGTCTTCTGCTGTTAAATCTAAGCAGTTCTATTATTAGCATGAGAAAAAACCTGAACTACTAGAGATTGCATTTAGATGTGTAAAATTTCTATTTTGCTGTTTCCTATATGACTATTTTATGCTTGTTTCTATTACAAATCAGAAGATGTTGTATGGAATACTTTAGCTGAGCTAGTGACTAGTATATAATTTATAAAATCTGGTTAATAGAGGCAAAATAAGCTGATAGCAAATCTAAGGTTAGTTTTTTCACTTATAATTATTGAATGCTGCACTATTTGATTTTTTTCTTTTAAATTTGTTATGGTGTTGATAGAGGGGGCTGTCAGATGTGACAAACAATGTATGAGAGCCCTCCTGGGGTGGCAGCTGTGTAGGCACTCTCAGCTTCCTAACTGGTACCACATGAGGGCAACTGGGTTCTAAGGTAACACTTTTTTAAAATTTAAATTGGATAAAGTCTGACAGAAATTTAAGATTTTTAATTAAGATTTTTTTATTATTATTATATAGACTTTGTAGGTTTTTTTTTCCCCTCGTATTTCTCAAAATATATGTTTTTCTGTCAACAGGTAGGTGAATGTGTACAGGAACCATACCTTCCACCTACTGCTTCTTAAGCCACTGGGCTATATATCAGTTTTCTATAGGACACATAATTGTATTTTTTTTTTTTTTTCAAATTACTGTAAACACCCTGAGAGTTACAGGGGAATTTGCACAGACTTTCAGCTGGAGGTTAGGAGTTGGTCCAGGTCTTTAGATTTTGGACTCTGATTTGTTTATTGAAAGATCCCTCTAATCAAATACCAGGTTAGAGAGAGTGTTACGTATTTGAAAACAATGCTAGACATTAAATGAAAAACATAAGATTATTCCAGTAGCTAATAATTCACAAAAACAAGGCATCACTTTTAATATTTCCAAGTGAAAGCTGGACAAACTTACTGCATGTAACAAATCAAATATGAAAAACATTGATGTGAATTAATGAGAATAACTTGGATTAAAAAACAACTTTTAAAGGTTGTGATTCATCTGGGAAGAGAGCATGTAGTGGCCAGCCTGTTTCTAAGTTGTTCCATAAAAAATTTCCAGGTAGGTTACCTTCATGTTTGTATCAGATTAATAGGACACCTTGTAATAAAATATTTGACCATAATAACATCAGGTACTTTTAACTGACACTTGGAAATACAAAGTAAATTTTAAAAACAAATCTTGAATCTTAAGCAGTGAGCTAGTTATTAATTGCCAGAATGTCAATGCCTAGTGCAGAGGGATGTTACCAGATCTAATTTAATAATAAAGAAGGAAATTTTGAAATTGTTTGGGTTTTAGTGGCTTCCTCTCTAGATGAGAGAGATCTTGCAATAACCTTAACCATTTTATTTGTGATAGTAGCAAGCTATGGCTATTTTAACACAAAATCCCCACTGAAAATAGAACACATAAGATGATTCAGTCAGGTCCAAATGATAAAGTTTCATAAAATGTTGTCCCTTTGTCTTCATTAGCCACAATTATTGCTGTCAGTTAAACTTTGGGACAAATACAGTTCTTCCTTTTGATTTAAAAATAAAGGATAAAAATGGCTCTGTAGAAACAATTTTAAGTTCATGTTTGAGGTACAGTAATATTTTTGACAGATTGCTGTGAAGTCTTGTGCACTCCCAGATCTCAAAAAATACAAGGTCAAAAATATCATTTTTGCTGCTTTATATATTTTAACAGAAATATTGTCAAAAGAAATTATAATCAGGTTTTGATACTTGTCCTAAAAGTGCCAAGGCCTCCATAAAATATAATACCTCAGAAACTTCAAGCAAAAAATTGTAATATTCATTCAATAACTCTGTAAGCTATTGATCACCTTGCAGTGCTC